GAGATTCATTCGACACTAAATCCACGTGCCCATGATCCGTATTCTTATGGCTTTGTCATGAGACGCGTTATATGTATCAGCATAAAACCTTGTTTATCATTACGACCACCATGACTTATAAAAAACCGAATATTTTCGCCATTAAAACGTTTACAGTGGTCAACCGTGATTGTAATTGTAGTAGGAGATTCGATTAATGTGAATTCTTGAGCCATTAGACCACCATGAGCTGATTTAGTTGACAAGTTTTTTTTGTTAAAGTTTACCGAGACATTCTATCGGATTTGCCGGTTTGCTTTTCCCAACTAGGACACGAACTAGGGGGGCTCTAAGACAACACAACCATTTTGGTGGATCCTAGAACTTCGTCACTAGACCAAGTCCAACTCCCACTCGATTAGCTGACAAGGTTTGCTATCAAAAGCATCAATATCGCCCAAGAACATAATATGTCCAGGAGAAAAGGGAGGAAACTCATTCTCCCAGAATTGGTCATCTTCCATCAACAACTCGTTATCATCACATTCTTGGTTCATTATATGGCTCGTGTCGTCTACCATCGTTTCTTGGTGATCATAATACGAGTTGATGCATAAGTGATTCAGGCATGGAAGCTTCCTTGAATTTCTCGAACTGGATCATCTTGGATCCGTATGTGTTATCATCATTAGGCTGTGAAAAAGCAGCAACTTCACACATGTGTTGTCCCACATAAGTGGTTCTATAAACAGTAAGGGTTGTCTTTGATCATTTGCACTCGCTGTGTAGCATGACAATTTTGGTCATCCGCATAAGCGCAACGATAGTAACACCTGTGACAATTGCAATCAATGATTATCAATAATTTAGCCTAATCAACCGTGTAGTAGACAAGTGTCCGCCACAAAAACAGAGAAGAAAATTTACTCTGTTTTTATTTTTTTGTACTAATTACTAACCTTTGATAGGAAGAAGTTTTGATCTTTTTTGTCCGTACTTCCTCCAGGAAAAGTTGTCACGGAACGGAGATGAGGACATCTCTATAGTTCTCTAAACCTTCTTCTCCACAACTCTTTCTGCAACATCAAACAATTCAAAAGCTAGGCAACGAGCAAATTGTGTTATATATGGTTTTTCAAAGTCGACATGAATTGACACCTTTTTAACGATTTCGAAGACATGTTTTGAGAAGAAGACTCATGGTGTCGGGAAGTGATGCTCATGAAAAAGGACAGAGCGATGGAGAAAGAATCAAGAACGGTCTCAACGAGAACCTCTGTTTGAAGAGAGCGCGTCTCGTGGTTTTCAAGTTGCATCTTCAGGTGGTTTGCACAATCTTGGCCGTGAAGCAGGCCTCCACCGTCTTATCAACGCCTGAAAACATTGTTCTCTAGACTTAAAGAACAAGAAGACTGCTTTTTTTGTTTCTTTTTGAGTGTTTGTTTCTTCTATCTGAGTAATAATTTTCGTTATATGTATATACACCTTAAAATGGTTAAGGAAGTTTATTATCATGTGAATGCTTAGCTGTCAGTTTTTGGTGTTTTAAGAGCATGTTTATCAATAAACCCCTTTGAGTATCATTAGAATTTTTTTAATATTAATTTAATTAGTTGTTTAATCTATGATACTCAAAAAGATTTTTGTTAAATTTGTATGGTTAATGGTGAAACTCAATGGGTATCACGAAAATAATAATAAAAAAATGAAACGGAGAGAAGAGAGAGACGAAGAGAAGAGAAATAAAACGAGAAACACAGATTTTTTTTTTTGCCCAATGAATGCATCACACGTGGCAAAGAAGAACCGATCCAAAAGTCTCAGTGAATTGAGACGTTTCACCCAATATCAAGCCCAAAATCGATTTTTTTATTCTTTTTATTAGGCTGATACCCACTAAATCTCACCAATAAACATGCTAATTGGTACGTAAATATAATAATAGGCTGAGTCTCGACAAAAGTAGCTGTTGGTCTTAATTGAGTAAGGAAATACTTTTCCCATTGGCCAAAACTTTTTTTTTTTTCTCCCTCTGCATGTGTAGTCTCCAGCGGGCGCTCTAGACAATTCGTTAAATTTGTAAAGTAAGTATAAACTTTTATCGGAGATGTTGTTTTAGTCATGTGGTTAAGTCCATTTGATTTTGTTAAAAAAAAAAAGTATAAATCTTGATTAAGATAATTAAAAATATATCCAATGTCATAATTTGATTAAAAGTACTTTTCCAGATTGCAATAAATTATAACTATGATATGGCCGGTCGGTTTACGTGTTTTCTTGACTGTTAGTTTAGCTAATAATTAAGAAAACGGCTTATAAAAGTGGAGTATTCAACCATGAAGTCCTCTATTCCACAATGCAATGAAATGAATCAATTGTATATCAGTTTTTTTTTTTCATTCAATTGTATATCAGTTTAGTCAGAGTGATATGAATCATGAAAACAGACACAAACATGGATTCATATAGATTATTTAAGCATCCCCTTTCTTTAGAAACTCACACAGTTTCTCTAATATATTATTTTAATTTATTTTTTTGTTTAAATTTTAATTATTCTAAAAAGATAAACCAATTACATAAATACATGAGTTTCTCAAATAAGATCCTTTCTTCTTCTCTTTTTGGTGGGGATTCACGCTACCACCTTCAGAGCCGGTCCAAACATTTTGAGTGCATTAAGCAGATTTTTTTAATTTAAATATTAATTATGATACAATGATATTAGTAGTATAAATAAAACACTAAGCTATTTAATCAATTTAAATTTAATTTAGATGATATATATTAATGTTTTTATGGATTACACAAAGAATTATACAGTTTATATTTAAGCTACCATTTTTACACATTAGTTAAACTAATTCATACACCTATATAAACAAAAATAAATAATGGAACTACATGGCCACTTTTCTATATGCATGACTGAAACTCTAAAATACAAGAATCTAGACAGAAACAGATAAAAAATAACAAAACATTTATATTAAAAAAATAAAAAAATAAACCAGAACATATAATGGGATCATGTTACGTGTAATCAAAATTTTCTAAGATTCAAACCAGGCCGTAAGCGACCGCTTACGTCGCCTACCCTCCGGACCGGCCCTGACCACCTTGCTGACATATGTGTAGGCATCCTGTCCTTAGTAGTTGGTCTGTAAGCTTTGGTGTTCGAAGTTCGGCATATTTTCACGTAATATAGATTTAACACTTAAACTTATTTTTAAAAAATAATAATGATTTTCACTAAAATTTAAAACAAATTTACCACTTAAATTTAAGAAAATAATTAATAACTAAAACTATGTTAATTTAACTATTACTTTTTAAAAATTAGTTTAAGTGTTCAATTTTAAAAACGTCGAAAACTAACTGCGCCTAGGCATACTGTCCTTAGTTGGTCCGTAAGCTTTGGTGTTCAAAGTTCGGCATGTTTTCACGTAATATATATTTACAACATAAACTCATTTTTAAATAATAACAGTGATTTTCACTAAAATTTAAAACAAATTTAACACTTAAACTTTAAGAAAATAATTAATAAATTTTAACTAAAACCATGTTAATTTCACTATTACTTTTTAAAAATTAGTTTAAATGCTCAATTTTAAAAACGTCGAAAACTAACCGCGCCAAGACATCCTGTCCTTAGTAGTTGGTCCGTAAGCTTTGGTGTTCAAAGTTCGGCATGTTTTCACGTAATATAGATTTAACACTTAAATTCATTTTTAAAAAATAATAATGATTTTCACTAAAATTTAATACTTACAGATCATTTTTTAAAAATAAGAATTATTTTCACTAAAATTTAACACTTCAACTTTAAGAAAATAATTTTTTAAACTAAAACCATGTTAATTTCACTATTACGTTTTAAAAATGAGTTAAATGTTACATTTTTAAAATGTCGAAAACTAACCACGCCTAGGCAACATATCCTTAGTTGGTCCGTAAGGTTTGGTGTTCGAAGTTTGGCATGTTTACACGTAATATAGATTTAACACTTAACTCATTTTAAAAATTAACAATGATTTTTGTGATCCTTAAAATATAACTATTTTGTCTTATTTTATATTTTCTAAAACTTTCTTTATTATTTACACAAATGATAACAATTATGCAACAAGCCGTGATAAACAACCTAGTTGTTTTAAAAATTGTCACTAATATAAAAATTATACTTCAAAAGACATAATTTTTTTATTAAAAAAATATATTTAAAAGGCCTAAATATTTAAAATAACAATTTTATTATTAAAAGCCAACAGATTGAGTAAGAAAAACTTTGTTTTCATTAATAATGGGCCAAAAATGTTTTTTTAACAAAAAGCTCCTAAATATATTGGGCTGGGGCTGCACACATCATAACACGAATTAATAGTTAGATCTCTAGAGATATTCACAGTCGTCAAATTGCTTCAACTTTAGTCTACTAGCCTAAGCGATGGTTCTAAAAATTGGAGCCTGAATCTTGATCTAACCCTTTCTTCTGTTACTCTTCTTTTTATTTGCATGTATAACATTCCCTGACGCAGAAGAAGAGTTACTGGTGGTCGGCAAGGGCAAGACAGTGGCGTCCTGGACCTCTTTCGTCTCTGAGACTTCACTCTCACCATCCATTTGGGCCATTAGTTTTCCAAGCTGAGAGCGTGAATAACAGATTTAATAGGTGTTTTATTATATAACCAATAACACGGGGGGTTGTATTGTCCATAGATGTTTCTTTACCTGTTCTTCTAAGCCCTCAATCTTTTCATCCTTTACCCGAACTGCCTTCTTCTCCCTAAATCAAAGGGAAGTTTCCATTAATGAAAAATGGAGCCTGGTCTCACAAGCTAGAATAAGCACA